TATGAACTTAAATGTGATTCAAAGAATGTCATTGACAATTTCGAGACTGTTGTTGACAATTTTAATGGTGTTGATGCACAACTTTGTTTTAATGTTGATGAAATTGGTTTTAGTGAACACGCAAACTCTGAAAACGTAAGTGTACTTGCCAAAAGCAAAACTTCCAAAGTCAAAGTTGGCGTTTCAAGATTTTTAAAACAAGGCTCATTTATATGCCCAGCAATAGTTATTTCAATCAAAAAATTCATTTGTAGCTTCTCAGTTGATTCTCTAGATGTTGCTGTTTACTACACAAGCAATGGCTTTGTAAATTGATACACCTTCAAAGCGTGGATGCTGACCAAGTAGTTGTTTCATATTATTGAAACCAGAAAAAAAATGAGTATTTATGAAGAAAAATTAGTAATAATTATAAATAATTTCGGTGAACACATTGACCAAGAAATAAAAAAACGTTTTTGAATCGAACAATGTGTTTTTTTCATTTCATTGTACCATATTCGAGTCACTTGGTGCAGCCACTTGAATTGTGCATTTTTAGTCCCATCAAAAAGGCTTTGTGTAATTCAACTCCAATGTTTACGAGCAAACAAAGTACTCAAAAAACAACAATTGAGTGCTCACATCCAACGCTGTCAAATTCGGCATTTAGAATATCTTCAATCACAGCAGAAGTCGAAACTTTCAATAACTTACAACCATAAATCGAGCAATGGATCAAGCAGCTAGACGATCTAATTAGTCCATCTGGTTTGATCAATGAACGAGCTGAGTGGGGAAGTTAGATGACCAGCGTCATGAAAAAAGTAATGAGAAAGGTTTATAAAAGATTTGATATTGAAACAGTCAGAAACAGTTTTAGGAAAGCTAGTTTCGTTGTAGTGGTGAGAAACAAAAGATTTAGAGTTTATGTTGATATACTATCAGCCAAAGTATTCCTGTCAATTTTAAATGTTATGCCAGAACAACGGATAATGGAGAAACTTAAATCATTAGAAAACATTATGTTAAGAACAAAGCAATTATGTGCAATGAAGAAGTTGTTGAAGAAACTGTCAAACAACGGAGAACCTATGATCAAATACAAGAAAGACTAAAATGAGAGAGATCAATACAACGTGCAGAAGAGGATAATGTCGAATTAAAACGTAAAGAAAGAGTTGATGATTATCGTCGTATGTTTATCAATAAAGAGAATCGCAT